GTGGCTATAGGGCTGGAACGATATGTGAAAACGGCAGGCATCACTTGATAGTCCCGCTCCCAGAGCAGACTTTGTGCTCACATTTCCACAGTCACTGTCAGATGCAGCAGTCTCTCTAAGAACTTGTGTTTAAACAGAAATATCTCCAATTGGATTATCCGTGTTTAAGAGATTAACCCGTCTGTGTGCCAGCCACGCAGGTGTTAAGTTTTCTTTTGGGTTTTGTTTCAAAGAGACACGCAAGTCTTTCAATCTTGAAGATTAGGAGGATGCTACACTGGTGCGAGGGCTGGCGCTGCTTAAGTTCAGCAGCAAGCGTGCTTGCTAGCCGTAAGCTATTTTCAAATGCGGCCCTCTTGGAAGCATCCCACCCCCAATGTGGCCCTCTGAACGTTGCTGGACTGTGGGGACTTCTCTTTGCCCCAGAGGAGAATTGGGGGTTTGTGGGAGTTGGCAACACCCAGAGGGACACAGGTTTTCTGGATTCTCTACATCATCTGCTAATACAACTCCCAAGAATTTCGGCAAAAATGTTTCTGTGTCTCGGATGGAAGCTCATTCAAAATTCCTCAACTGACTCTTTCATTAGCTGGGATAGCTCAGTTGGTAGAGCATGAGACGCTTAATCTCAGGGTCATGCATTCACGCCCCACACTGGAGAAATAGATCCCTGCATTGCAACTCTATGCTTCCATGACAGTGTTTCCCAACCGGTGTTCCGCGGCACACTGGTGTGCCGTGAGACCTTGCCTGGTGTGCCGTGGGAGGGAGGCGGGAGAGGCGGCGCCCGAGATCGCTTCTCCCCACCGCCCCTTGCTTCAAAAGAGGTCCGAGATCGCTTCTCCCCACCGCCCCTTGCTTCAAAAGAGGTCCAGGGACAGCGGGAAGCGCTTCACGCTGCCCCCGGACCTCTTTTGAAGCAAGGCTTTGCGGGGAGAAGCGATCTCCCCGCAGCCCCTTGCTTCAAAAGAGGTCCGGGGGCAGCGGGAAGCGCAGCGCTTCTTCCCCGCTGCCCCCGGACCTCTTTTGAAGCAAGGGGCTGCGGGGAGATCGCTTCTCCCGCTGCTCCGAAGCGGGGCGGCGGGAACACCTGCCCCAGCCGCCCCGCTTCGGAACACTGCTCCGAAGCGCGGCGGTGGGGCGGGAACCTCTCCCCCCGCCGCCCGGCATCGGAACGATGCCCCGATGCCGGGCGGTGGGGCGGGAACCTCGCACCCCGCCGCCGGGCATCGGAACGAGGTCCTGGACCTCTTCTGAAGGCAGGCGGGGGCAAAAGTCTTTGCTCCCCCCGCCTGCCTTCCCGGGACAGCGGAGACTTCTCCGCTGCCCCGGGCAATCTTAAAATGCTGGCGGGCGGGAGCGAAGCGTTCGCTGCCGACCCCCAGCATTTTAAAATCTCCTCGGGGCAGCGGAGACTTCGCTCCCGCCCGCCAGCATTTTAAAATCGCCCCGGGACAGCAGGGGCTTTTAAAATGCTGGCGGTCGGCAGCAAAGCCCTCCTGTCCCCGGAGCTTGCGGGGCGGGAGGTGGGAAGAAGGGCTTTTCTTCCCACCGCCAGCCTTCAGAACAGCCTTCTGAAGGCTGGCAGTGGGAAGAAAAGCCCTTGTCCCCCCCCCCAGCCTTCAGAAGAGGTCGGGGGACAGACTGTCCCCGGACCTGGTCTGAAGTCGGTTTCCCTAGGAACGCATTAATTGATTTTCAATGCATTCCTATGGGAAACCGTGCATCGCAAGACGAAAAACTCGCAAGACGAAGAGACTTGCGGAACGAATTAATTTCGTCTTGCGAGGCACCACTGTACTTTTTATATAGTCAATATAGGCACAGAGTTAAATTTTTTAACATTTTCTAATGGTGGTGTGCCTCGAGATTTTTTTCATGAAAGAAGTGTGCCTTTGCCCAAAAAAGGTTGGGAAACACTGTTCCATGATATAACACTGGTCCTAAAGGATCTACTTTGACTCCCAATACATTTCCAAGCACAATTCAAAGTGTTGGTGCCGACCTTTAAAGCCCTAAATGGCCTCGGCCCAGTATACCTAAAGGAGTGTCTCCACCCCCATTGTTCAGCCCGGACACTGAGGTCCAGCTCCGAGGGTCTTCTGGTGGTTCCCTCATTACAAGAAGTGAAGTTATAGGGAACCAGGCAGAAGGCCTTGTCGGTGGTGGCACCTGCCCTGTGGAATGCCCTCCCATCAGATGTCAAGGAAACGAACAACTATTTGACTTCTAGAAGACATCTGAAGACCGCCCTGTATAGGAAAGTTTTTAAACATTTGATGTTTTATTGTTTTTTTAATATTCTGTTGGGAGCTGCCCAGAGTGGCTGGGGCAACCCAGTCAGATGGGTGGAAAAATAATAATAATAATAATAATAATAATAATAATAATAATAATAATAATAATAATTCTGATGGTAGGGGAGAAGAGGAGGTCGATTACAGGACCTCAGGGGTCCAGGCTTTGGCCCAGGGCTGCCAAGGTGGAACATTCTCAGTTGGTTAGAATGTGGTGCTGATAACACCAAGGTTGTGGGTTCAATCCCCGTATGGGACAGCTGCATATTCCTGCATTGCAGGGGGTTGGACTAGATGATCCTCAGGGTCCTTTTCCAATTATACAATTCTATGACATGAACGCAGGTGGCGCTGTGGGTTAAAGCCTCAGCACCTAGGGCTTGCCGATTGAAAGGTCGGCGGTTCGAATCCTTGCGGCGGGGTGCGCTCCTGTCATTCGGTCCCAGCGCCTGCCAACCTAGCAGTTCGAAAGCACCCCCAGGTGCAAGTAGATAAATAGGGACCGCTTACCAGCGGGAAGGTAAACGGTGTTCCGTGTGCTGCGCTGGCTTGCCAGAGCAGCGATGTCACGCTGTCCACGTGACCCGGAAGTGTCTGCGGACAGCACTGGCTCCCGGCCTATAGAGTGAGATGAGCGCACAACCCTAGAGTCTGGCAAGACTGGCCCGTACGGGCAGGGGTACCTTTACCTTTACCTTTTTATGACATGCTGGGTGAACCAAAGGCACACACAACAGACGGCTTCTGCACTTCCACAATGTTGTTTTTTTAAAAAAAACACATGACTTCTCCCCCTTCTGTCAGGAGGAAAACGTTAAAACTACCACACCAAGGCGAGGTCAAGGTTCCAAGTCCTCTTTCTGGCTCGATGTTCGATCTCCAGGCACGGCCTGCTTTTCTACAGAAGCCGTTCTTCTCCGTAACAACCGTCAAAAAGGCATTTGAATGGCGCTCCGCACTCCTGCGGCTGGCCTTTCTACATTAAACATTAACCCCTGTTCCCTGAAAGCACGCACAGGAAATCAACATACATGGTGCCATGTGTGTGTGTCTACTGGAAATTCCAGGTTTACAATATATAAGGTACGTTCTCCTCCGCTGACAAGTTTTAGAAGCACACGCAAACACAGAGAGCCGAAGCCAGTCTTTGCCCAATCTGGCACCCTCCAAATGTTCCGGACTACGTTTCCCAGCAGGCCCAGCCAGCACAGCCTGATGGGAGTTGTGGTCCAAACTATCTAGAAGCCACCAGGGCTGGTGAAGAGTCTACCCGAACCACACTCTAGCTTCACCATAGTTGAATGATTTGAAAGCTGACAGGTCCTCTACAGCTGCCATTACTAAGCTTATAACCTCAGCTCTTCTCCACAGAGCAGTGTGTATGGTACTCGCCCTCTCCGCTTGCTCCTCACAACAACCCTGTGAGGTAGGGTTAAGTTGATGTGCGCATGGCTGGTCCAAGGTCCCCCAGCGAGCAGTCAGACCCCAGTCTCCCCGAGTCCTAGTCCAAAACTAACCACGCTGCATAATCGTTGCAACACCCAAACATACATGCTCCAGGCTTCAATGGAAAGGGTTGCAAAATGAGTGAACGAACATGGCGTCCTGCTCTGATGCCTGGACCCACTGGGCCTCTGGGGCCTGACTGGCAGAAGCTGCCCAATGCCTCCCCCAGCCGAGTTACCTGTGGTCCTTTTAACAGGTGGCGCCAGGGATTGAACTCTAAACCTCTCCATGCTCAAGAAACCATGTTCTCTACTCACAAAGGGACTGGGGCGTAGGGGAGAGAGAAATATAAAAAAATAAAGACTGCCACGTGTTGTTGCCATTGTTTCTGGCACTTCAAGCCTAAAACTGGACCAGATGGCTTTTTTTTTTTGGCAGTGGGGTGGAGTTTAATGCAAAACTACCTGGGTTTCACAATGCTTACGTCAAGAGCGACTCCACTCTGAGTCCAGAGGGGAATAATGTGGTCAGGAGCCGCCTTTGAGTTCTTTCAGAAATCATTCCCCCATTTCTCCCTTGCCTTCCATGTCAACTTCCTCTTCCTTCACACTTATCTGCTTTAAAATCGCATGCAGAGCCTTGTGTCCAAAACCGGTTTCAAGTCCAGATCGTGATTATCAGGTTTCATGATTTCTGACCTGGCAATATATTGCGAGTCACGATGTGTGTGTGTGTCTGTCTGTGTGTGCTTTGCAAAAATCACAATGTGGGGGAAACCCTGAAGCCAGCCAATGCCTCCACATAGCTCTATCCTTATTTCACACACTGCGACTTATCACTATACAGCTGTACCTTGGTTCTCGAACGCCTTGGTACTCGTACGTTTTGGCTTCCGAAAACCCAGAAGTGTTCCGATTTTCGAACATTTTTTAGAAGCCAAACATCCGACGCGGCTTCTGCTTGAGTGCAGGAAGCTCCTGCAGCCAATTGGAAGCCGCGCCATGGATTAAGTCCGAGAACAAAGGTTCCACTGTATTGCGATGTTTAGCTGGTGAAAGATCACAAAGTGGAAAACCCAATATTGCCCAGCTCTAGCCTCACTTGATGCTACATACAGACTAGGCCCCAGTCAGGGCAAACAGGATGTATACCCCAAGGCGGGTAGTAGAAACCTCCCCAAGACAAATGCCCTTCTACTCCTCCTCTGGTTGTATCGTGGACCAGCTTCCCCTTCAGGTGCAAGGCCGAACTCTCTACCTGCGTCCCTTTTAGCATCCACAACTCCTTCCACGCTTTCAACTTCCTGTGGCTCATACGAAGAAGCCTGGAGGACAACCGAGCTCTTCTCTCCCGATGGATGAAGCGCAGGCTTCTCCGACGGCACACTGCCCCTTGAGGGCCCACCAGAATCGAGGGCAGCAGAAGAGACTTGACGACTGGAAGCTGCCAAGCCAGTATCAGCTGGCGTGGGCCCCAGAGCCACGTTCTGGCTCGCCGCCACGGTTCCTTGGCACCGGTGCAGCCCAGGAGCTGGTGTCCCGTGCCTGGCATTTGCTCCACTGCCCAGACTGCCTTCCAGCTGGTTTGATTGAAAGCTTACACCTCCAAGAACCTCGTGGGCCTTGGAAGCTCGACCAAGCGGCCAAGAATAGTTTGGAGGCCGCGATGATTCTCGCTCAAGGTCGGCAGGAAGGGCATGCACCAGACAAGATCTCGGTGCATGCTGCAGCAAGCCAGGAGCCACGAGTGTCAGGCACCTGACGCAAGCCTTGGTGGGCTCTTCCACCCTCTTCCCCTCGACTAAGCCGCTGGGCGGCTCTGCCCCTCTCTGCAGGTATTCGTGCGACACACTGCTCATGACGATATCCGGGTACGGTGCAGAGCCCTCGGATGCTCTGGAGACGACCAGCATGGCTTGGATTTCCCGGGCACCCTCTAGAGCCACGGCAGCTGGCACAGGCAAGAGGGGAGATCTCTCGTCCGATGAGCCCTCCGCACGGACCTGGAAGATGAGGTTGGTGATGCAGCGGCAGCAGCTGGCGAAGAGGCCGTTCCCCATGGTCCCCTGCCAGGGGGTACGTGTTAAAAACCAGCACGGAACTTCCGTCACATCCAAAGGCAACAGCGCAATCTATGGGCAGAGCGACGCTCTCCGGAAATTCACGGTCTGGATGGCAAAATGCTTTCCAAAGGGGCACATCCTCTTTTCCCAGAAGGTGGACCAAGGTAGTTTTTAATCAGGGAGAACACATGCAGAGCACCTTGGTGAATCGCTGCTTTAGTCATGGGTGGTTTCTCTTTGGAAAAAATATATATAACGTCACCAACATCTGACAGGCTGCATTTCCGCGGTCAAAATTCTCCCGGAGTTCCCGCCAGCGACCTTCATTTTCTGCAAAACCAGACGCCAACCGTGCGTTGCCAGGGAAGACTGCAATCAAGGCGCGATGGGTTTTCTTCCGTGTTCTCCTGGAGAACAAAGTTCCAGCAGAGAGTGCTTCTTTTCCACCCTCAACTCTGCAAGAAGACTGAAAGCAGGAGGAGAGCGTTGGCTCCCAAGCCAAGTTATAAATAGAGCCCAGAGCCCGGGCTCCGTACCAACGCAACCTGGGACTGCGGCTAAAGGGTTTTGCCCTTGTCAAGCATACAAACAAATGGGGTTGGGGCTGAATAGCAGAGCCAAGGTCGGTTACTATAGCACGTTGAGACTTCCACACAGATATCCATACTAAACAGAGTCGAACAGAAGAACAATTATGGGGCAGAAAGTAGGTCTGGGGCCCAGTTCTCTTTGAGGTAGCAAAAATATATATCTGGGTCTGGACTGGAGAAAGAATAAGGCAGAGCTTTCCAGGCCACCCTGAATCCATCACATGCAGCGCTGTTTGCGTTTCGCTGCGTATCATCCTCCACCCAAACAGATATTGTTTGTCTTGCTGTCTGAGGGGGCAAAAATATGCAAGTTCCGTTGCCATTACATTACATATTCCACACTCTTCTCATTTCTCTTCTGAACACGGGAGGAATAAGCAAGCACCAGCAGTTTCTAGACCAGTTTCTGTTTTTGTTGGCATAATAATAATAATAATAATAATAATAATTTATTATTTATACCCCGCCCATCTGGCTGGGCCTCCCCAGCCACTCTGGGCGGCTTCCATAAAAACCACAAATACAGTAAAATATCACACGTTAAAAACTTCCCTGAACAGGGCTGCCTTAAGATGTCTTCTGAATGTCAGGTAGTTGGTTATCGTTTTGACATCTGCTGGAAGGGCGTTCCACAGGGCGGGCGCCACTACCGAGAAGGCCCTCTGCCTGGTTCCCTGTAGCTTTGCTTCTCGCAATGAGGGAACCGCCAGAAGGCCCTCGGTGCTGGACCTCAGCGTCCGGGCAGAATGATGGGGGTGCAGACGCTCCTTCCCTAGTCTAGATTCCCTAGTCTGGAATCCTCAATGCACATTAAGGAATCACATTGCGGTGGGTTGGACTAGATGACCCTGGGGCTCCCTTCCAACTCAACAATTCTGTGATTCTACGATTCACGTAATGGAATGCTCTCTTCCTCTCACCCCCCCCAAGAAATATTCCAAGTAATAATAATTCTCTGCACAGGGAAAGGTACCTCGGAGCCTTCCCTGGACATAGTGTGGCTGGATCAAAACCCAAGAATCCACCCAAGAGGGGAGGAACTATAGATCAGTGAGTAAAATCTGCAGGGAGGGCTGGGAGAGACCTTGTGTTGGAAACCCTGGAAAGATGTTGGCAGTCACTGCAGACAATACTAAGCTAGAATTTATTTATTTATTACATTTATATACCACCTTTATCTCCCAAGGACGCGGGTGGCGCTGTTGTCTAAACCACAGAGCCTAGGACTTGCCGATCAGAAGGTCGGCGGTTCGAATCCCCGTGACGGGGTGAGCTCCCGTTGCTCGGTCCCTGCTCCTGCCAACCTAGCAGTTCAAAAGCACCTCAAAGTGTAAGTAGATAAATAGGAGCCGCTCCGGCGGGAAGGTAAACAGCGTTTCCGTATGCTGCTCTGGTTCGCCAGAAGAGGCTTAGTCATGCTGGCTATATGACCCGGAAGCTGTACGCCGGCTCCCTCGGCCAATAAAGTGAGATGAGCTCCGCAACCCCAGATTCGGTCATGACTGGACCTAATGGTCAGGGGTCCCTTTACCTTTACCTTTTATCTCCCAAGGAGCTCAAGGTGGTGTACGTGGTTCACCCCCCCCCCCATTTCATCCTCACAACAACCCTGTGAGGTAGGCTAGGCTAAGAGAAGGTGATTGACTCCAAGGTCACCCAGTGAACTTCATGGCTGAGTGGGGATTTGAACCCTGGTCCCCCAGGTCCTAGTCTAACACTCTAATCGTAACTCCACACTGGTGCAGATGGAGCAATGGTCTGACTCGGTACATATCACACACAAACGCTTTTCTGACTCGGCATAGTTCAGCTTCACGTGTCCCTAGTTGGCACTAACAATTGCAAATATAAAAATGGGATGTAACAGCTATTCCGCATCCGTCAGCACCGAGAACAAGTACAGTCATCCCCCCCAATTGAAACGGGAGCTAAAAGTATTGGTTTTAAATTTTATTTTAAGGTACTTAAAGGTAAAGGTACCCCTGCCCGTACGGGCCAGTCTTGACAGACTCTAGGGTTGTGCGCCCATCTCACTCAAGAGGCCGGGGGCCAGCGCTGTCCGGAGACACTTCCGGGTCACGTGGCCAGCGTGACATCGCTGCTCTGGCGAGCCAGAGCCGCACACGGAAACGCCGTTTACCTTCCCGCTAGTAAGCGGTCCCCATTTATCTACTTGCACCCGGGAGTGCTTTCGAACTGCTAGGTTGGCAGGCGCTGGGACCGAACAACGGGAGCGCACCCCGCCGCGGGGATTCGAACCGCTGACCTTTTGATCGGCAAGCCCTAGGCGCTGAGGCTTTTACCCACAGCACCACCCGCGTCCCTTTTTAAGGTACTTAATTACTGCTTAATCATGAGCATTTCTCTGCACCATACAAAACAAACATTCATCATAAAACTGAACTAAAACCCGGACGCTATCTTAAAACCCCTGTGGAAATACAAGCATTTGTTGTGTGTCTGCAGTTCAGCAGGGAGGGTGCCTGTCTTCTAATACAATCTGGTGGTGGAGAGTTCCACAGGTCTAGGCCCACAACACTGAATGCATGCATGGCTTCCAGGCATTGCAAGCCTTGCATCAGAGCTGTGCGGGAATCACGGGACACTCCCCAAAAGTGATCAGGCAGGGGAGAGAAGGGATCAGGAGATCCTTAAGATACACGGGACCTAGATTGCTGTTGGCCTTGTAAATTAAGACAAGGGCATTGAACCTGGCCTGGTAACATATAGGCAGTCCGGAACTGCCATGTTCATTAGTTTTAAAAGATATACTGTACACTGTCGCCAATCAACATTGGAGGCAACCCCACATTCCCAGGACTGACAAGTAAGAGATTAGCAGGAGCCAGAAACCCTTAAAAACTTGGGAGAGTTGAGCGGGGAATACTTTACTACTTCTTTAAAAGGGGAGTATGGAGAAAGAGAAAGAAAAAAAAGAGAGTTAACTGGGAATCGGTTTAGTTTGACAAGCCTTCGGCTCCTCCACGCTGGCATTTCTTGGCAAGAAGTTTGGTTCTCATGCTCCGTAGAACAATGGTGGCTTTGCAGTCTTCCTAGGAAAGCTTTCTTAACAGGCACTCTCTGGGCCTCGGCAGGGAAGAAAGGTCCATGTTGGCACCCCTGCCAGCGACCATTAGAGACGGGAGAACGCCGACGAAAAAGGGAGCGGAAATGGCCAATACTTATATGTCCAGAACAGAAAACAACCCAGCAAATGAAGGTGGGATTCCATGTTGCCGCTGTTGTGTTCAGTCAGCAAATGGTACGCAATCGATTACACCCCCTTTGAACCAAAATCAGTGGGGTGGAATGATGTAACCTTCACTATTAATTACGTTAAGTTACATAATCCCGCCGCAGCAGACAGAAGGACGAGCAATATGGTTTTCGGCAGAAGGTGATCTGCAGGGGAACAGAAACAGCTCCGCAGGTGGCAAATACAGAAAACGACGCCTTCTTACCTACCTAGGAACCATGCATTCAGTTCATGAGCATACTAGGAAAGTCTAGGAAACACTTGCCCCATAAGAACAATAAACATTGTTGAGCTGCTGGCTGCTCTTGAAGTAAGTATGGTGGAAAACAGGGCAGAAGACATGGGGGTGATTCGAGGTTCAATCCCAGCCACTTGCCCGAAACCCTGTTGTGGACAATGCTGAGCTACATATTTGTTTAATAAAGTTTATACACTGCTTGATTGGTCACCCCACCAAAAAAACCCCACCTCAAAGTGATTTAGAAACAGATAAAACAATTAAGTGATTTATAACCCTACTTTAAAGCATACCAAAGTTGAAATGCTACAACAGATTAAAAGAACCTCAGCTTTCTAAAGCACCTGGATAGGCATTTCTAAGCAGCAATGTTCTCAGCAGGCACCGAAAAGAGAACAGCGAAGGTGCCTGCTCAATCTCAAGAGGCAGGGAGTTCCAAAGGGAAAGCACTGCCACGCTAAGCAGTCCGGTTCTTACAACTGAGGAATGGGCAGCATGCTTCACCTGTGGTGGTACCAATTCTGTCGATCAAAGCGGTCTAGTGGGCCCATGAAGGGTAAGGCAATCTCATAAGTGAACTATAATAATCAGGTATAAGTAGGGCAACTATACTATGCTAACTAATCTATACTAGGGAGTGGGTGGCGCTGTGGTCTAAACCACTGAGCCTCTTGGGCTTGCCGATCAGAAGGTCGGCGGTTTGAATCCCTGCGACGGGGTGAGCTCCCGTTACTGTGTCCCTGCTCCTGCCAACCTAGCAGTTTGAAAGCACGCCAGTGCAAGTAGATAAATAGGTACCACTGTGGCAGGAAGGTAAACAGCATTTCCATGCGCTCCGGCTTTCATCACAGTGTTCTGTTGCGCCAGAAGCGGTTTAGTCTGATGGTGTTTCCTGCTTGGCAGGGGGTTGGACACGATGGCCCTTGTG